GACTGCGACTAAAAATGAGTGACTGCTGCTAAATAAAATTAATAACAATTTATTCTTTAGCCTCACATTTCGTGCATTTTTTTAAATAATTTTTTTTTTGAATTCCTAAGATAGTGCTGTTGGTTAAACAGTTTAAACTTCAAATACAATTTTCATTACTATCGTTTTTTATGGAGCTTTGAACAGTACCCTATTTGTTAGTTTACTCAAAATAAGCAATTTAAATCTACTTGAATTCCAGAGTGAGCGAAGATGTTTTAATGACATGGAAATATCGAATCGAAATAACGAAGGCGCTAATCCGAAGTTAAAAAAAAACATGCTATACATAAATTTTCTGGAGGGAGAAGGAAAATCTAGAAAAAAGGTTTCCGACGTGGTTTCTTATCAACAGTGAATTTATTTGGCGCCTTGGTATCTATTTCTCGCTCCGTCACGGCTTGCATTTCTATAAATAGGATTATGAGTTTTCTTACATTCGCATGTGTTTTAAGTTTATGATAATTTGTTTTACAATAGTGTGTAGGTAACACATGTTTTCCTTGCAGTATTAAAGCGGCTGACAAAAATTACGATAACGCATACATAGTGCATCCATTTTCCATAAAGATATAGTACTGAACGACCAAAGAGTTAATGTTTAGTCATTCTTCCAAAAGAAAAAAATGCCTCTTTCTGTTGAGAATTTTTTGCTTTCACTTTAAAAATAGAATGAATGATGTCTAAATAATTTATATTTATTGTGGTTCTGCTGCGTTACATAGGGTATTGATGAAAACGCTATGGCTAGAAGAATTACTGCCTCGTCTAAGAATTATTGCCTCATCCAAGAATAAATTGCTATTGTTTATGCTTGTGTCTAGAATGGGTAGACAGAATCTGGCTGATTACCGCAGTATATGCTGAGTACTAGAAGAAAAGAATGTCTCTTTTTCTGTCTTCTTGAAAAATAAACACATTTACGACACTGTGAAATTCGTTTGACATTCCGACGTCCTTAACAGTCAAAGCAGACGCCTATTAACTGTGCTTTTGAGTGCATACATCATGGCAGTGTTTCGAAATAACGGGATCGTTAACTGGTTTAGTTCGCAATTTTGTGCGTTTGTTGCATTTAACTAATTTTAAAAAGCCCGATGACTTATAAACATCAGAAAAATAAATAATTGGAAATAACATGAGCTATAATACGTTGAATGCAAACCGAAAAATTTCTCATGACTTCAGACAAGTAGTTAACTTATTAGTATTAAGATAATTGAGAAATATTTTGCTGAGCTTTTGGGTTGCCGGAGTCACTAGATATTATTCTGCAGTGGAAAGGAATGGTTAAAGATTCATTTATTTTAAATGATTCATAACTTGGAAGCAAATTTAAAGTTTTTTTTAATAAAGGAAGACTAAAGTTTTGTAAGATTTTCCATATCAGATTAAAAGAATATGCCTAAAGAACAGGGAAAACAGAAAACCTGTATTTACTGTAACGTAGGGCATAAATCTGGCCGGAGCCCAGCTGCGATATATTTAAATTTTGAATGAAATCGTAAATCCAGCCAGAGCGCAGCGGAGCTTCGAGTAAAGACAAGCTCCAGTGCCAATGTTTCTACTAATTTCAGTATTAGTTGAAAGTTATGTTATCAATGAAAAATTCCATTTAATATTTATTAAAACGTATATATGCCTAACTTTTCCTGGGAAAAACAAAATAAATGGGAAATTTTGAACAGGTAAGAAACCTCATCGAAATATGATTCCTTTAGGTTCGGTTTATCTGATTATGGCAAGGCACTCGCGGGCTATCTGCCTAAGGAAAGATATGCCTTCGCGGAAGGTTTACCAAGGAAAATTGGCTCGTATCTACTTTACATATGAGTAAAACCACGGAAATGCCAATGAAACTAGCAGCTTTCCCTGGAATTGAACCAAGGTAGAAGAGATTTCTTTAGGAAGAGGAATTTTATGGGGTGTACTCATCCGATCGGAAGAAGGCTTAAATTACACATTTTGAAGAAGAAGGTTCAAGAAGTCAAGAGCACTAAGCTAAAATAAAGGTGCAAATTTATACGACTGTTAAGAATTTATCCTCCTTACTATATCTTATTACTGTCAGTTTAATCACTTTCCTTTTTTTATTATTTAATTTGATTTCCCTGATAGCTTACTTTATCAGTTCCCTAATTTTCTTAAAATTAATTTAATTTAGTAACATTTTTGTTTATCGCTTTATGTGTTATTAAATGTTCATCGTTATATCTTTTACTTATAGTTCATTTTTTGCACATCTCTCCTCTCATAGGGCTCCGAAACTTCTAACTTTAGAAATTAAGCCCTGACACAAATTTCATGGAAGCTGCAAACTCATATCGAAGATTGAAGTTCAGGAATACTCTGCTGACAAATAAACACCAAATAAGGTTAGGTTAGGTTATTAGAACATAGCAAAGAACATAAGGGCTGTCTGCCTAGAGGAAGGGATGCCTTCGTTAACTTTCTAAAAGAAATGTATTCGCATTTACGTTACACAGGGGTAAGATCGCGAAAACTAACCATGCAACCAACCCGTTCGCCTAGGATCAAACCCAGGTCGAACTCCTAGTATTTAAGATCATACAAGATTATCTCAATAAGAGTGTTTAAAGGGTCCTATTGATGATCTTAAACTGCTCGGATTCAGAAACTTAAGGATTAAGGGTTTTTCGAGAATTACTGGATTCGCTGTGGATGAGTTCTGATCTATGATAGCTTTTAATTATTAAACTAAACCTAATGAAAACTACGAAAGCTGTTGGACTGAATGCGACAAATCTACCTGAATTTTGAAAATTTACTTCCTAGCTATTAAATTATCTAAGAAATCCATAATGTCCCAGTTAAAGAAAAATCGTGTTAACGTGTGACAAGAACGTTGGTTGTAAGATGACAAAAGATAGACGGAATTTTTTCTCAAAATTGATGAAATAAGATTATCAAGTGATTATTTTTTCCATCAAGTACTTATAGCTCAACGATCACACCGTAGATATTCTAATCCTTTTACGATTAAGAGACTGTATGTGCCTGTAGCCAGCAATTCGCAGATATATTTCAGGTAATACATATTTCTTTTTTGTCCCCATTTCTTTCTTGTGAGGCTTTAAAATGCATTCAAAAGATATATTTGCCTAGAATTATGCATTAGGTATATTTTGCCAACTACATTGAAAGAGAAAGTTAAAGACCATATTAAATACTTAATTTCTAATGAGGATATTTTCAAAGTGGTTTAAAATGTGAATTTTTTTTAATTATTGCATAATATAATAGAATGTAAAACTGGAAATTAGAGAATATGAAATTCTAAGTGTTTAAAACACCGGAGATGCCTTTTCCCCCTTAAGGTGAGGAGTAGATTTATTTTAACAATCGATATCAGTCAGAAAGCTCTTTCTTGTTTTTGCCTTATTAACGGCGAAACAAATCTTCATTCTTCACTTAACGCAATGATTTTCATTACTTAAAAATACGTGACATTTACATGCATTATTTTGAATCAAACTATTTGAGAAACTATCTCTGGATTCGCTACGCAGACAATACTTTCGAGCCTTTTTAATGGTAATAAATAAGATTTATCTCAGATCCTGTATTAATTTTCCTTGATATTCCTATAAATTGATTAATTCCTTTCCTTGATATTTTTATAATTCGCAAGGAATCTGATATCAGAACTACTGTTTACAGTAAACTCATTTCTGGTTAATTTAAAAGTCAAACAACATCAATGTATTGAAATGGTTACGATACAATTTATCTTAACCATTTCCGGTTGTTTGCCTCCCCATGCTAATTAATGTCACTATGCTATACAAAAAATGGCTTCTTACAATTACGTACTTCGCTGTCTCAAAGTTTATTCCTCGGAATCTTTACTTGCCAATGAATACAGTTATTTCAGATCAGTTGCCACCGACCAAGGTTTTTCTCCAGTGGTCGTTGATAAAGGCCTAAGAAAAATGTTCATCTTGCCATCAAAAAAGACTTTACGCTGTTAGAAATAACATTAATAACCTTTTCATGCTTCCGTTTCATCCTTCTGTTAGTTACAACATTATACGGATTCCCCAGAATTTTGGTTTTCAAGTTATTTTCTCACCTATCAGTAAAATCCATGGTTCGATTATTAACGATTTCAGTTACTGACTTTAATTTATAAAGTCATTAGGTTATATGGATGCTGGCGCGTGAAAAATATACAATGCCCTCGCGAGGATTCTAACCTCGGACCTCCCGAATACACGTTGAATGTGCTTCCATTTACACCACGAAGGCATGCGGATAAGAAGGAGAAAATACCTTATATACCTCCCCTTTTAAAGGGCGACTGAGGATGAGAAAACCCACTCGCAAATTCTGGTGGTGACGAATTCCGCCACCTTTCAGTTCGGGTGCCACTGTAGAGTCATTAGGTTATATCGATGCTGGAAACATGGAAACTGTGTAATGCCCTCGAAGGGATTCGATCTCCGGACCTCCTGAATACGCGTCGAGTGTGTTTCCAATAACACCTTGAAAGCATGCAAAAAGGATGGAGAAAATACGTTATAAATTCTTGGAGAATTTATAGCATATCTTATCAGTGTGGTTTGAGAGATATCGCCAAACTAAAAGAGTCTTAAAGTTTTGCATCAAGGAGTACGAATCTTTTGCCCGAAAGATTTAAAATAACAAGTCTTCGGTAACTAATCATAGTTGGAAATTTAATCATAATTTTGATTTTGGGTCTGCCAAAATTATTCAGAAAGCTTCATTCATTAGTGACTTGGATTTTCTTGAAATTTTCCATATTCACAAATCTTCATCTTATTTAGTTAGTGACTTTAAATCTAATCCAGTCCTTCCTAATGCTTTAAACTTATTTTTTCAATTTTAGTTACTATTTCTGTCTGATAGATAACGGTACTTTCTCATTTGCCTTACTCCTTTTGGGTATAAATACAAGTATGGCTTTTCCTTCGTTGCAGATTTCTTTGCTTCTGATGAAGAGGGACCTGTACCTGTTTGCTCTCGAAATCATTCGAGTTTTGACTAAACTCTACACCAAACACAAAGTTGTTGTTTTGCTTTTAAGTTTCCGGTATTTTATCAAGAAACATTCATGAACAGTAAGTATTTTCTTTGATTTATTTTACTACCAGCTAGTAATGCTTCGTTCTCAACAGCAGTCTTGTGCATCGTGATTTAGTTTGCTCGTTCATCCATCCTTTTTCACTAAAGTATTACAAAAAAAAAAAAAAAAAAAAAAAAAAAAAAAAAAAAAGGAGGAAAAAAAAAAAAAAAGAAAAGAAGGGAATAAAGAAAAAATTAAAATAAAAAAGAAACAAAGAAATATTTATTCATTTTAAAAAGTTAATATTCTTTCTAACTTTTGTAGCGTTGGGAGCCAATTTTAATGGCATCACATTTAGGGTACTGAATTACTAATTCTTTCTCTTGTAAATAAGAGCTACTACTTTCCGCGCAGCACGGTAGTTGGCGTACAAAACAATTGTAAATATTCGTAGACATTGTTGCACGGACTATGTTGTCTCGCAGGGTTGCGTAGACAAGTAAAAGAATTCCCGGGAGGGTCGGGGGAAAAAAATCGAAATTTAACATGACGGTGAGTTTGTTCCAGAACACGACTGAACACTGCGTGATGTCTGCTTACAACGATCTCATTGCCGAGTCGATGCCTACTGCCTCCCAGCAGAGGGTAAGACTCGGTCCTCCGTTGAACTGAAACAAAGCCCATTGCCTATTTCGTTTATTTTAATATATTCCGTTGGTAATACGAAATTTATGCAGAGATTCGACGGATGATTGTGCACCCGTCGTGTGTGCTAATGGCGAAGGATATAAAGGGGAAACTTTTCGTTTGTGGTCTCCTGGGGATTTGTGGGATGGGGTCTCCTGAGACCATCCTGTCGCTTGCTAACTACTGGCCTCGTTATTTCTTTTCAGATAACATTCTATGTTTCTTTACATTTCACCCTTTCCTTTTTTGTTTTTTGCACCTTCTTTTCTTCATTCACAAGCACATGTGTTCAGCAGTGAAGAATTTATGAATCGCTTTTAGTATTCGATCCATAATTATTTGCAACGTCGTTTCTTTGGTTGGTTGACTGGAGTCGTTGTTGGTAAGGTAGCAAAAGATAAAATTACAATTAATCGTTATGTGGTTTATTTTTGGGGATAAAAACGCTCGTCTTGGATTGCTCGAAGGCTGCGGGATATAGCATTTTCTAAGAAAAAAGGTAACATTATTTTGTAAATCAGCCTAAATATCAAATATTATTATGTATACTGCTTTAATTTTGAATTAAGCTTACTGTTGGAACTTGGGCTTGCTTTAAATTTACTTACACTGTAGCACAGTTTCTTCTCTCTTAAATGTAAAATTTAAGTATACTTGATTTGAAAAGTTAAATTCCATGGAAAAGACATTCGATTCAGTTTTTATTCTCTGAAACTAAATCGAATGCTGAAGAAACATAACATAAGAAATGTAACAGGTACAGATCGAAGCAAAGCAGGCACCTGTGCATCCATATATGCATATTAGGTATCGCTGGGCCTTGCCAATTTCTAAATTTCCTCCCCAATTGGAATTCCGAGTGGGAACACTCCGGGTGGGCCAGTCCGAGTGTCTCTCCCCCCTTTCTCCCTTGCCACTAACGTCCAGGATTTTGGCTCATCGTATATTAGCGCCCCTTGCCTCACAGACCCTATACGCTTACAAACATCACTGCATTCTCTTGAATTCGCACCCAGGTTTTTGGTAGAAAGGAGTAGAAACAGAAGTGGAAGAGGCGCCAGTCCGTCTCCAGTTAGCCTCCAGGTAACGCCTCTATCCACTAACCGTCATGAACAAAACCGTCCAGCGGCTACTCTGATCATCCGCTTTGGACACTCAAGTACGCACCTTGGTAAATACTATTTGCTACATTGCTAAAGTTAATTCGTCCTTACCTTGTAAATTAATACATAAAATTAAGTCCTAAAATAATATAGCTTCAAATGCACTCCTGATTATAATCCTAAATACTGTCCTAATACAAATATTTTTTGATAAATTATACGAATTTAATGCAATGAATTACAAACAAATAAAGTAAAATACAATAATAAACAGTCCTAAAGCCATATTTAATTTAAGAACTTTTGTAGTAGTTCAACGATGCTGTTAGAAACAGCAGTTTAATGTTCTTTTATGTTACTTGACATAGGTCCTTGCCTTCGATTGCTGGTTTGTCCAGTTTGGTGTCTTTGTATTCAGTGGAAGATTATCCGAAAGGGAAAATCGTGTAATTTGAGCCGAAATTTCTTTCCCCCACACGCACAAAAGGGAAAACGCAGTAGGTTGCAAGTAAATAAACTCTTCCCATTTACTCAAGACCTCGCAATTTTGCCCACCTTATTTGGGCGTTAACTTGTTCTTAAGTCCGATGTCTTCAATCAGCTTACCTTTGGCGAGCGTTTGCAAAATTTAGCATATTAATAAATAGCACTAACTTCCACACAGCAGACTACTCGTGTTTTCTTTGTTCGATATTTTGAACGAAATTAGTCAATATAAGATACAATTTATTTAGATTTTATCATGCTTCAAAATTAAATAAACTTAAATTAGAAAGATTGAAAATGTTATTCTTTGTAATTTTGATTTAAAATAAAATCCAGAAAAATTAATTATAGAAAATTAAAATGCATTGATTTATAAATACATTCCTTCTTTGATAAGTATTAAAAATAATTAGATTATTCAGAGGTAGGTAAAATACACGAAGAAGATAGAGTTTCTTGGGGTACTCTCTGGAACAAAAAATAGGGCTAAAGCTCTGGAAGGTGTACTTAAAGTAAAAGTTTTAATTTCAAGATAAAATGTATTAACATTTTAGGTATAATATAATATATTTATACAATATTTATAACTATATATAGCTGAAGGTAGGAGAAGTAGGAAATGTTATATTCCCGTTTTTATTCGCAACGAAAACGAAATACATGCAAAAAAGAATATACTCGGATAAGATTTCATATTATTGGTTATGTATCTTATTTTTATTACTTATTATTCAAATATTATATTAATATACTGTACTCTGAAATTTATATTAATAAAGGTCATAGTTTTTAACATAAGTTTTCAGCATATTTTCCAGAGTTTTAGTCGCATTTTGCATTTGCAAGGGACACCACGGAGAGGTAGTCTGTTTGTCCCCATAAGTTTTATTTAATTTCTATTTATATATTGTTTATACTTATCAGCCTAATAATATACAATACATAATACACTATAAAATTTAAATATACCTAATATAATAATAATATACAATACATAATGCACTGTAAACGTCTAAACTTTATAACTAATTTTATCTAAGAAACTAAAGAAAATATATTATAATTACATATTTTCTTCATAACTAAATTTAACAATAGCTTTATTTATAGATAAGCGAGCTATATAACATGACTTTACTAAACATTCGTGAATGTTTACATCACCTTCAACGAAGCTTTGCCTGATAGTTTTCATAGATTTTAACCTTATTTTATGTATTCGAATGTTTTGCATAATTAATTAAGCAAGTTTTTCACTGCACCTGATTTTTATATAGTTGTTCACGAGAAAAAGGAATCCGGATTATTCTTCTAAATTATATCATGTTGTAAATAATTTTGCATAATCATTCTTTTTTATTATTTTCAATATCTTCATAACTTTATAAAGTTCTACTTAATTTACATGTCTTTGGCTATTAGAACTTTGATGAAGTGGCTAGCGACTATTCGCTGCTCTCCCCGTGACTATAAAATATAAGTCCAAAGTAGGGTTAAAATACTCTTTTATTCACAAAGAAATACTACAGACGGCCCCTCTCGGGCTTACAGGAAAGCCTCTATTAGGGCTTTAACTTAAAATAGAAAATAAGGAACTAAACTACAGTAAAACTTCAATTATCCGAATCAATCGGAACCGGACTCCATTCGGATAATTGGATTTTTTCCGAAGAAGGGTTATGATTTGATTGCTGAAGATGGGAGAAAAAACTATTTTTAAAGAAACAGAGGTTTTAATTAATTAAAATGAAAAGGCAACACTTTTACGTATATGTTATATAGCGTACTGTACAGTACGTACAAGTGCTGAAAGTCATTACTTGCTGATACATCTCGGTCAAAGTAAGCTCTTTGACTGTCTTCATCCGTTTTTGGGCAGCCAAGACACGCATCCGCTTGACAATGAGAAGTTGCATGTGGTCACACTCGGGTTGACGCTCTATCCACTTCAATGCAGTTTCAAGGCCGACAAATGCTTGATGGTCCCGTGTCTGCTTAAACTTCGACATTAAAGTCATTTTCTTTCTCGGCACTTTCTTATCTCATAGTTTAAATAAATTCATCATCATTTAGAATTTGAAACCCAGAGTCTGACGAATCACACGCCATCCATTCTGCTGTATCCTCAACTCCAACTTCTGAATATCCAGGAATTGTCAAAAGAATATTTCTTAATCCCTCAAGTGACATGTCATCCTCATCTTCTCCTGTGTCTTCCTTTTCCTATTCTTGAGCTTCTTTTTCCTTTTTCTCCTTTTCCCTTCTCTTCTTCAGCTGATTCTGAAAAATTCTGAAAGCGATTCGTAATTAAACCTCACGGCGAATACTAACAGACACGTAAGACTACGGCCCTAGTAAGATAGCCTTAAAGTAACGACAAGGCCCGAAGGCAGAGCATGCTCTACTGAGAACTTCTGAGCTCTTCTATGAAGGTGACTGGACTTCCCATTAAATACTGGTTCTACTTCCTTTACATAAAACGCGATACTGATATCTCATTCTGGCAGGTAGTTGTAGGAGGAAAGGTTTTCAAAATTAAAAATAACTATTAAGAAATAAAATAAACCCCTACAACTTTAACTACTTACTTATATTGAATGTAGTTGCTGTGTTTAAAGTGCGAAAATCAAATTCATTAAATGATAAAAAAATTATCGATTTGCCATATGTGCACGGCTGGATATTTCGTCGTATTTTTACATAATAACTAGAAGTTATCACACGTATCAGAGAAATAATTTTTAGAATGCCTGGTATAAAGTTTCCTTTCATCAAATTAAAATGTAGAGGGCGTCCTCTAAAAGTAAAATTTGGAAGCTATAGTGTTGTTTACTGTTTTTTTAAATAGTATCTTAATAAAAAAAATTTCAGTCTACCTGAACAAAACCCATTACTTTTTTTAAGCATTAGAAAAGGGGGTTTTACAAATCTAT